TGCTGATACGAGGAAACCAGCAGAACGTCCTCACTTTTTACTGCCAGTGAATCCTGTCTAACAGGGTTGCATGTTTTGAGACAATTTGTACAGAATGAAATGATTGGCCGTGCTTGTTATTTATTGATTGCTGTTGGAATGGGAATACATGGAAAATAAATATGAAATGAATTGCCAGGGAAAAAGCTAAATAAGTCTAATATGTGAAATAAGTAAAAACCAATGCAGTTACTTGCTTCACTGTCATCAAGATCATCTTCACCTGCCAGTGAAAGCAGAGAAAGAGGAGGACTATAGGACCTCTCAGTGTTACTCAGCTGGAGCCACAAACTGATACAAGCCAAAGAGGTTTTGATGAGCTGTTCTGGGTTGGCTGAGTCTCCAGAACAGCTTCATCACACCTTAGCATAAAATCTACAAATTTCTACGAAAGGGATGAAAACAATTCTTCCAAACGATATTACCTTGTTTGGTGTTTTGATGATGGTGGTGGAGAGCACTGTCTAACATCTCGCTCCATAATCTCCTGTAAATGTCAAGTTGAGTTGAGATCTGGGCCTTAGCACATGAGCCATCAATTACTTATATAATTTAACGTGCCCTTATGGAAGCATCTGCATTTAATATGCTGCTCTGCTTCCTTTTCATTTGTCAGCCATCTCTGCAGGTACACTATATTTAGATTGTTAACTGGGGAATTTAAGAACTGATCATCAGAAATCAAGATAAAACAAATAAAAATCATTAAAAATCTTGAGAATATGGAATGAACACACGCACACACAGAGGATGTGTCCAGAATCACTACCCATTTACTACATTGTATATCTTATAGATCATACAATCTTACTGTCCTTGTTGCTGTTACTGATGAACAGTCCACTAATAGTATGTTGCACAAGGGTCTTTTCTTTTTGTCTGCTTAATAAATATAATAAATTACAACTATTCTAAAGGAAATTAACTTCTTTCTGTCAACCATGGACACTTTGCTGGTGATGAAAAAATCTAAGGCCGCAAGCGGAAATGACTGGAATGAGTTACAATTTCAAAATAAAATTTCCAAACAAAAAATCTATATTGTTTGCAACATTTATTCTTTTTGTATTTATGTATTTTAAATGATAGGTTTATATTTTTTGAGGGTGTCTTAAAATATTATATAGCCTACTTGTGTTTACATTCAAATTGCCTCTTTCTCACACCTATCCCTTTATTGCTGCTCAGCAACAAAACACTTTTCATGGAAACACAAAATGAGAATTTCGTACTAAAAACTACCTTTGGAAGATGATTTAGCCTCTTTCATTGTACATGTGCATATCAGTATTGTGTCAAGATGGACATGAAAACATATTAACTTATTCTTTAACATCTTGCATGGCTCACAAACAGATAAATACGCCAAATCCAAATGTATTTGTTTTTACCCTCCTCAGCATCCCAGACAGAAGCTCTTACTGGCCGTGTGTCTTTGGAAACACCAGTTTAAAGTTATAAGTCTGTTAGGGTCCAAAACATTAGAAGCTGCCAAGCCACATAATTAATTGCAGGGCTGTTATACTATAATGCACCAGATTGGTATTTTATCTGTATTTAGTCTTGGACACGTACCACCTTCCTCAGCACTGTTGCAGAAAACGTACACCATTCCATGGAAACGCTATTCCCTGATTGTAGTGGCCTCTTTCAGCAGGATAATGCACTATAGAGCAAATATGGTTCAGTAATGGTTTTGAGAGGCACGACGAGTTCAAGGTGTTAACTTGGTCTCCAAATTCCCCAAATCTCAAGCCAATCGAACATCTGTGCAATGTGCTGGACAAACAAGTCCGACCCATCATGGAGCCCCCCCGCGCGCAAATTACAGGACTTAAAGGATCTGCTGCTAATGTCTTGGTGCCCCAGCACACCTTCAGAGATCTAGTGGAGTCCGTGCCTCGATAGGTCAGGGCTGTTTTGGCAGCAATAGGAGGACCTACACAATATTTGACATGTGGTCATAATGTTATGGCAGATCAGTCTATATTAATTTATTTACTTACTGATTTACTTGAAATTATATTTTGTTTACATATTTTTGATTACACTTAACTGATGAATACTGGGAATATAATCCTAGAATATAATTACTTTTAATTAATTATGAACTTAAAAATTACCAATAAATAAAGTGCATCGACACTTATTGGCTGCTTAATAACATTTTCCTCAGTGGTGGACTTTTGATAAAAATGGATACTTTACTTAGATAATATTATTGATGTAAAGTGGTTCTGCATTTTAACCATAAATTAACCAGTTTGTTTGGTTTGGTTAGCCAGTTTGTACACAACTCTTCTTCTAGTTTTGTCTAGACTTTTATATAAATTAAATATACTGTCTGAGAGGGAAGACCAGAGAAGAGCAAGATTAGTAAGCATGGACAGAACTTTTCCCCCAGAAAAGTTTTTAACAAAATGATACAATCTCTTCATCTGCCTACCCCCTTCTAAAAAGAAAACAAAAAATAAAAATTGGCTTTGTTCTCTGCACATACACAGTGTTACCTGCAATTATAAACGATGTGACTGGGCTTCAGAAAATACAATCAACATAATCAAATCATATTGACAATGGGTCTTTTTTTACATCTTACCAAACAAAATACACACAATGTGTAACAAGATTAAATATCACAATTAATCAAAAGCCTCAAATGTTTACTACAAAACAGCGGCGAAAAGAACAGTGTTCGGCCTTGAGTTTCAGCAGACCTGCAGTTTTCTGGGAGTTTGTTTGACCGTTACAGTAGTCAAGTTGACTGAAGATAAGTGTTTATCCATCTGCTGAGACATAAATCCTTTAATCCCTGATATCTTCTTCAAATGAAAGTTGGCTGATTTTTTTTAATCATCTTAATGTGGCTGATGAAAGTTGGGGGGTCATGGGGTGCCCTGGCTACCAGGGGTGGGGGTCTCTGGGCTGCGGTGGGATTGTAGGGCGATTGTCGATGCGTCTTGATGCACTGTGCTTTTCCCTGGGCAGGGTCTCTGGATGGCTGCTGGGCGTTTAGTTTGTGCATTGGAATCCGGGGGAGGCATTTCCTCGTTGGCTTGGAGAGACCTAGTTTGCGTCACTGGTTTTCTTTGTTGGCCTCAGATCCATGCTTCCCCATTTCTCTGTCGGCCAGTTGTTGGACCCCTCTGAATACTAAAGTATAAAGTTAGTTTTCGGGATTTGCAGTGTGTGTGCAGGGCAGGGCTGTGCTCTGGTTTATTCTGTGCCTGGAGTTCTTGGCCCTTGACGGGTGGGTGGGTTGGTGATGGCATGCAGCTGAGCTGGTTGATTCTGCCTCGTTGCTGGTTTGGCTGGTGTTGCGCTGCGGCTTGGGGATGTGCTGTGCATGTGGGATGTCGGCTGGCGCGGGCGGCCTTAGTTTTTCCGGTGGCTGGGGGAAGGCGGACTTTTATTGGCGGGTGCACGGTGACGTACGCGGCGCATTTGCTGCCGGGCTGGGACTTGCAGCAGGTGCACTGGGTGTCGCCATACTCGCACAGTGCGCACGTTGGGCTCGTCACTTGTGCACTGATGTTGATGATTGCGTAGCATTTGGGCATTTTGTTTGTTCGCTGCGCGGCGGTGGGGCGCGAGCGCTGGTCTATGTTGGGTGCGCGCCGTGGTTGGTCCAGGGGCTGCTCTTCCGCGGGTTACGCCTCTAGAGTTCCGTCAGCATTGCCTTGTCAATTGGCATTTGGATGGTCCTTTTTATGTTTTTTTTTGGGGGGGGGGGGGGCGTCTGTTGGTTGGGTCGGGATATCCGGGTCATATTTTTATTTTTTTTTTATTTATTATTATTATTTTTAATTTTTAATTTTTTTTCTTTTTCCCACCCCTATTGGCTACTGGGGTTCTTGCCTGCCTGTTGCTGGGGTCGGTATGGCACAGTCGTAGCATCCCACTCTCACTAACAACTACATTCTTTAACAGGCTTATGCGCACACATATGTCACACACACACACACACACACACACACACACACACACACACACGCACACAGACATACACAATTTCACACATAGACACAAACAAATTTAGGTTGTCCCTATAGTAGAATTATTCCTGATGCTTTTCTTTCAGTTACTTATTTAAATTAATTGTTATTATTCCAGCTCTCCTGGCTGTGTGTTTAGTGTGCCTGACTGTTTCTTGTTTTCATTTTTCTCTTAGTTGTCATACTATGTCAGCTGTTTATTGCTGCTGTTCGGCTGGTTGTCTTTTACTATTATTATTATTTTTATTGTTTGTTTGTGTTTGTGTTTGTTTGTTGTTGTTTTTCTCCTCCCCAAGCCCCCCTCTCTGTTCTATTGCAGGTTTCGTTGCTTTCTGCAATTGGTGTTTCCCACTGCTTTTCCCTGTTGTCCCCACCTTCCATCCCCCTTCTCTTAAAGGTGTTGTCCTTTCTCTGTGCTGCCTGTTTGTGCCCCCCCCCCATCCCCGTGTCTGCCCCAGTGACAATCAATACATAATTAAATAAATAATAAAACAGACAAAGTAGTATATTAATACTCTCTTGTTAAAGTGAAATCTGTCTGGCACAATATGGTATCCAGCTCATCATACTTTACACCAGGCTGCAGGGCAGGACAATTAAAAAAAAAAACAACTACGAAAACAAAAAAAATGCAAAAAAAAAAAAATTTCAAAATGCAAACAAACAAGCTGTTTTCAAGCAGTTCAGAGCAGAGTTTTCTGTGGGAGATGGGAAATCCCTGTGGGCTGGACTTTGGGCTATTTCTCTTTGCAAACCATATTACATGCACAAAAAAAGGTATATAATGCAATAAAGGAGAGGAAAAAGCCAAAAAGCACAATAACACCTCTTTAAACTGACACAATTTGTTAGAGTGTGTTAGAGAGTCACCAATCCAGTGTTTGTGTTTCTGTGTGTGTTTGTTTTCCATGTATTATGTAAATTACCTCTTTCATAAACAGATGTGCTCTCCTTACCAGTGAAAGAGTTTGGAAACTTCTGCATTTTGATATTCAAATGCTGACATAAAGGTGGTGCCATGCTATTGCAGAGCATGTAATCTTTTGTGTCTGCATCAGCACATTGAGGAGAGACCAGAGTGAAGCGGAGAGAAGAATTCATCAAATGTAAGTTTAAACTGTTGTTTCACTTGAGATTTCATGTTGTGTGTGTAAAGGTGGACAGTACAGTATATCCAATATTGAAAAATATTCAATATCTTCTAAGTGCAGTACTTGTATAGTACTTTGTGTATAGAGCCCAGTAAATATGAATTTAGCAGTTTTACTCCTTTCACACTTCATTATGTGGTGCAGATATTATTGCAACTTTTAGAATATGTTATTTACAAATTTGAGTCTTTGATGACTGTGTCAGAAATGTTTTGAATTAATTGGTTCACTGACACTTCCTGTTTTGTGTCTCACCTGTACGTTAATGATAGACATTACAAGAAACATTTGTTCCAGGTTCTTGTATTGCAATATTTCTAATCTGTATTTTACACAAATAAGTATCTTTCATGAGTTAACAAGTGTAACCCAAATGCTATTTAACCTCTTAACAAGTTAACTTCATACTCATATGATGCATCATTTGAAAGCTAAAATCCTCATGATTCCACCAATGCAAACCATTTCAAGATACAATCACCACAGTGTGTACAATCAGCGCTTCTGTCCGACCAACCAGTAAATCAAAACTGACGTGACTCACTTATGATGCATCATAGTAATCCACCGATCAATTATATTCCAACAAAATGGTCTTGTTACGTCATCAAAGGCGATCCAATCAAGTAAAAATATTTAGTCCAAAAAACATTATTCCATCAATAAATCCCCAGGGAAGGCTGCAGTATCGTTTCATATTTGACGGCAGATGGGGCTCGTATCATATCATACTAATATTATATTATACATTATATAAATCATCATCATTGAGTAAAATATATTTCAAATATAATAATAAAATGATTATTTTTGTTTTTTCTTGTTTTTGGCAGTAAAGTGAGTTATATATAACCTTTTGGCTTAATGTCCGTAGTGAAATAAGCTAGCTAGCTACAGACTAGTGTTAGCCTACATTTCATCAACATTTAATGCAAGGAAAAGTTTAGCAAGATATTCATATTGAATCATTGTCCCTGCCCCTTTTAGCAGATGAACAACAGTTTTTACCATAACAAAGAAAGACAATGAAATATTTCTTAATGACAGAAATTCAAACACAAATTATTTTCTCACATAATGATTATTATGAAATAAATAAAACTAGAAATTCAAGCAGTTTTAAGTGGGGTCCAAGCCTCCCAGCGCAAGCCGCCCCGGGCACCCTGCCGTCGTGCCGCATAAGGTCCTCAAGTTTGGTCTTGATCGGCCATTTGAAACTGTGGCAAAAAGTCCTGCGTTTGAAAATGCCATTGGAATGAATGGGATTTAGTGAGAGATTTCAGCTTCAATTTTAGCGCCACCTGTTAGCGGAATTTTACCAATTTTTTAAGGTGTCATCAGGCGCCCATGGGGAAGAATTGCCCCAAATGTGGTATGAATCGGACTTGTGGTTATGGAGATATAAAATGAATTTATGTGAATGGGAGTGTTTTTTTATATACGATTAATAGCGGCACCTTTTGGCCCATTGATACCAAATTTTACACAGGCCCTCGGGAGGGCGTGCCAGCTAAGGTCCCCGAGTTTGGTGTAGATTGGCCAATTGCAAATGTAATGTTAGATGACATGCTGTTTTTAGCGTTTGCGCAAAAACATGCTAGTTTACAATTGGGCCTTTTTTTGTCGGATATAAATTCCCACTACAATCTTTCTTCAGCTTGGTCCAGAGATGGTCTGTGGCAAGTTTCGTGGCGATCGGACTTACGGCCTTGGAGGAGTTAATTAAAATAGGTTTTCCAGTTTTCACGATTTAGTGAAATGAAAACGTCATCGCACAGAGGCGTGTCCTATACCATAAGAATCGTCAGCATCCCCCAAACATGTAGACCTAAGGTTTAATGGGGAACAATTGGCCCAAATTTGGTATCATCGGAGTTGTGGTTATGGAGATATAAAATGCATGTAAGTCAATGGGATTTTTTTTGCCGGGCGACATTTTAAGTCGGATCAAAATTTCCTCTACAAACTTTCATGAGCTTGGTCCAGAGATTATCCGTGACAAGTTTGGTGCCGATCAGACTTGCGGCTTCGGAGGAGGAGTTAATTAAAATAGGTTTTTCAGTTTTCGCGATGTAGCAAAAAAAGGTTTAGGTGTAAATGACGCTTGTAAGCCTATAATTAGAGTTATGTAAAGCTTTTGATGGGACGGATAAGTCCTAGAGATGTGGTGACAACAGCTGCGCAGAGGGGGCCCAATTTGAGTTTTTTGTCATAGGGCCCAAAATTCTTGGCGGCCCCCCTGCTCGTATGTCATTACAACTATAATAAATCGTTGAATGTAAACAACTATGATAGCTTGTATTCAAATTAACCGCTGAACTCTGACCTTTGGAGTGACACCAAATCTGACCCATTAGGAGCTCGCTGTAAGGAAGGGCCAGCACCTATTATTTCACGGGTAGGCCGAGCCAATTGCAACCAATTGTGCCGATGACTGGTACTTTGTGTAGCCAATAAAATTCTGAACTATACCAGTATAGAAATATAAATTTTATTTATATTACGTGAGAACAAAACAAAAAGAAAACAGACAATTCAGGACTAGACAGCGTTACCATGGAAACTTGTGTAGAGTTGAGCACCAAAATGAATTATAGTCAAACTGGTAGGCAAATTAAAAAATAAACCACACACTGAAACCAAATTAAATCAAATAACATGAAATAACACTAAATTTAACTGCACACAGCACACTAAGTGTCCCGAAACTACACAAAATACCCATGCCAAACGGTTACTCTACCCTTCAGTTCCCCCATTCAATACAGCCAGAAACACAATAAATGGCCCATTCAATGATCTAGTGGGTGCGGTGCGCAATAAATCTAACAGAGGTGGGAAAAACTCTTAGTTGGATCTCCTAAAGTCTATTTAAAGAAAAGAAAAACAGAAACACATTAAGATACAGAAAGAAAACTTTAAAAGAAATATTTTGCAGAACATGAGCGATACCTTGCTTGACTTGGAAGCACATTCCCCTCCCCCAGTTGAAGACAGAGGTGATCTTCTTCTGCAAGCATGAAACATTACCTTGTGTATAACAGTTTCCTTGGGGATCCAAAATTGTGTTGGTAGCACAAAGAAAAAAAAAATAGCGGTAGAAAAAGGAAGAAAACAGAGTGTTTGTCCGGCGAGTGAAGTCTGCATTCAGGAACAAAGAAAGTTCAGCACTGAGAAAGTTGTGTCTCCTCCTTGCGCAGTTGTGGAAAAGACAGGGTTTGTTTAACGTTCACATACAGTACGTGTTTAAGTGCATTTCATCCAACAGGGACAAGCTGTTAAATCATTGTGTTTGGTTCTCTGCACACTAAAATATCAGTTTCCTCTAACAGAGCAAAAATGCAGTGGAGTCTGTTTCTGCTCATTCTGATGGGTAAGTGGATCATTTACCAGCTCTACAGCAACAAATAGTAGTACTGCATCAGCTGGTAGCAGTATTACTGCTGCAATATTACTACTGCCCTTTACAAGTTAATCTTCTAATCAATGAAATATAAAGGAATTGGACTTAAATTGAGAGGATGTTGTAAGATGTGTGTGTGACCATGAGCTCCAACACTGCAGTGTTTTCTCTGGTTTTAGGTCAGTGGTCCTTCTTCACTTGTCACCTCTATGAGTATCACTTTATTGGAGAGAATAAGACCTGGGATGAAGCTCAGAAGTATTGCAAACAGAACTACACTGACCTGGCCACAGTGACTAACATGGCAGACGTGAGGAGACTCCTTAACGCTACAGTGCAGCAAAGAGAAGCCTGGATTGGGCTGTACAACCAAACAAATGGCAACAAGATGTGGCACTGGTCTCTGCCAGGAGTGGAGTTCAATGATAGTGAGACAGATTGGGGTGATCTTCCTTCTAAACAGCCGAATGATTATGATGGTGTTGAGAACTGTGTGTGCATCGATCCTCAGAATAGATGGCAAGATGTCCTTTGTACTGAAAATTATAAAGTTATCTGCTACGATGGTAAGAATCTGGGCTAATAATGCTACTATGTGTATTGAGCACGTCGTCCTGTCTAGCAATTATTTTCGATGTGGACACACAAATAACTCATCTCTTTATATGGAATTAAGTAAAAACTTTACTAATATGGGTAAAACGTGATATATTTAACAGTCGAAAGGCAATCAGTGCTAAATCTTAGCCTTTTGTTGCTTTTTAAGTGACATTACTAGAAACTGTGGTGATAAAAATCCACTTGTTCCCATAAAGATTTTCCTAATGCAGTATAAGCCTGCTGTCCTTTGATTTTAAACAGAATTATCTGAGCAACCTCATTGTAAAAGTAACACTTTCACCTAAATATCTGAAACTGCAGTGGAATTGGAATTCACATAAAAAATTTCACCTGCAAACAGAAAATATGTGACTTATGTGAAATACTATTGACAGTCAACACACACGGGATGTAATAGAGCTGAATCTGTGTTTTGGCTGTGTGAAACATGCTTATTTAGATAATTTTATTGTTTCACCTGTTTTAAGTAAGACACTACGATTTTATGAGACTAAAAAACTTGTTAAAATGTGTATTTCTAACTGCATGTTTGCCTGTTTATTCCACAGAAAGAAATCAATCCAATAAATTCAAACTGATTGACAACAGCATGACTTGGCCACAGGCTCAGAAGTACTGCAGAGAACATCACACTGACCTGGTCAGTGGACTCAGTCAGATAAAAGAAGCAGAATACAATAAAAATAATGAAAACAAGAGGATTTGGATCGGCCTGTTCAGAGACACCTGGAGGTGGTCAGATGGGAGCAGTTCCACCTTCAGAAGCTCCGATCTGGAGTTATTTAAAAAAGAAGGTGGCAACAAGAAATGTGCCATGACTGAGTTAAATGGATCTGGAAAATGGGACTCTGATGATTGCAATAAAACAAAACCCTTCTTCTGCTATGAAGGTGAGCTTTACAAAGGTCTCAACAAGGAGCAGGACTGGAATTAGTTGGAAAATATGTCTGTTAAGTTATTTATGCACGTATGTTGAATTCTTTCATGAATGTATCTATTCTGAAAACACAGGATTTCACATTGATTCTGGATTTACATAAGCTACACTTTTTATTTTTGTTATTAATTCATTCTTTTTTTATTTTAAAAGAAGTGGTTTCTATAATGATCTATCTTATTTTGTTAATCCAATTTTATGTTAGTGAATGTGTCATGACATGGCTTGCTTTACAATAAAATTACACTTACTCAAGACATTCTTAAGATATTTAAAGATATTTGTTGGAACCAAACACACATCAGTCACTTAAACCTGAAACATTTTATATCAGTATTGAAGATCCATATTGGATCCCAGTGTTCCCAACAACTAACTGAACAAAGCTGCTGGTATGATCCTGTGTTTGTCTCAATTTCTTCCATGACAGATAAAGTGATCCTGATCAAAGAAAGTAAGACCTGGGAGGAGGCCTCATATTACTGCAGAGAGAACTACAGTGACCTGGTCTCCATCACTAACCTTCACCAGCAGAGATGGGTCCAAGAGAGAGCCAAGAACGCCTCAACTGATTTCGTCTGGCTGGGACTGCGCTACACCTGCACTCTGGATTTCTGGTTCTGGGTCAGCAATGATGTTGTCAACTATACAAACTGGGCCCCGGGAGAGGAACGACTGATATCTGTGGCATGTCTGGAGCCATGGACAGAGGAGGACAACATCAGTGGTTCACAAAGCCGGATAATAACACGTTTAATTTCATCTGTTCTAAGTGTTGAAACCCACTCTGCTCACTGGTGTCAGATGTTTTATTCATTCACTCACGTTGTGTTTGGTGATGTAATACTTTTGGATAAGTTTACACTATGTATCGTTTTTGGGTTTATTGAATGTGTGTAGTTTGTTTTCCCATCTATATCTTTTCAAGATAATTGTTTACATTTGCCTCCATATATTTAATATTAAACATTTTATCATGTTTTGGTAGAGATTTGGTGGTGGGGTCATATTATATGAAATCTTAAATGTCATATTTTATGTAAACAGATACTTTCTTTCTCTGAGGTTAAATAAACTGTTAAACCATGGAGTGGTGCTCTCTTTTTTTGCCTAGACCTAAACAAACCTTAACTGTAGTGTAACATCATAAAACAGTGGCTTGGATGGCACAGGAAAAGGTTCTTTGGTTTAGTTAACAATCAAGTGTAGTTAGTTAAGTTAGGAAAAGATCAGAGTTTGGAAGAAACAACTTGGTTAAGGTGTTTACTGTGTTCTATATCTGTAGATATATTATTTATTGTGCTGAATTTGACTCCATGAACCTTATATCAACATTAATGTACATGAACATGAACATGCTGTTATTAGCAAACTGTGTAAAATTCATATAGATAAAACAAATTGTGACAGACAGCTTAGACTTGTGTTCAAATAACATTAGGTGGCTACAAGAGTGCACCTTCCTGGTCAATATTTACAGGGTCTTCATCAGCACATAAAAGTGAAGCTGCTGCGAGGACTAAAAAGATGTAAATTATGATTATTTTGTGTAATTTTAGTATATCATTTATTGTGTGCAGAGGTGGAAGTACAACATTGTCTCTCTTCAGTATATTTCACATTTCTATCACATCAAATCATATTGACAATTTGTCTTTTTTATTTGCTAGACTTGCTAAACAAATTACACCATTTGTAACAAGAAAAATAACAATTGATCTTTTAAATCTTAATTTAATGCAATTTTCAGTATTTTTGTGGACACAATAATAAGAGCACCTGACATTAAATGGCAAGGTAACTTTAATTGTATAGCAAATTTCAACAAGGCAATTCAGTGTGCTTTACATAAAAAATAAAATAATAAAATAAAATAAAATATGTACAAATAAAAAGAATAGTTGAATAGAAAATAAAACAATATAAAACAGGACTCATTACAGTGCAATGCAAGATGTTAATCGAAAGCCTCAAATTTGATTTAATACAAGGCAGCGGCAAACAGCAAGGTGTTCAGCCTTGAGTTTCAACACACCTGCAGACTTCTGGGAGTTTGTTCCAGATACATTGTGCATGAAAACCGAATGCTGCTTTCTCCATGTTTAGTTTTGACTCTGGGGAAAGAAAGCAGACCTGACCCAGATGACCTGAGAGGTCTGGATGCTTCATAAGGAAGCAGAAGATCAGAAATGTATATAAGCCCTAAACCATTCTGTGCTTTATAAACCAAAAGTAATCTTTTTAAATGATTTATTTGAAAGACAGGAAACCAGTGTAAAGACCTCTGAACTGGAGTGATGTGATCCACTTTTTTGGTCTGTGGAGCAGCAGCGTTCTGAATCAGCTGCAGCTGTCTGGTTGAGTATTTAGGGAGTCCTGTGAAGACACTGTTACAGTAGTCGAGTTGAGATAAATAAAGATAAATAAGTGTTTGTCCATCTGCTGAGACATAAATCCTTTAATCCTTGATATATTCTTCAGGTGAAAGGCTGATTTTGTGGCTGATTCAGGTCTGAGTCCAAGACTGCACGAAGGCTTGTTTCTAGTGGGTTTTTTATTGCCCTATGCTTTCCCTCTCAGATCCAGGTTTTTGGGTAACAAATTTTTTATAAATATACTTTTTATTTCAACAAAAGACATGCAATTTATTTTGTGAGCTTTATAGCGTAAACAGCTGAAGCTAATGTCTCCAACGGCACCAAATATCATTCTCAGTATTTTAGTGCTCTTGTGTTATTTATTTTCATGGGCTGCAAAAAGGGTGGGAGATTTTCAGTTGGATACTTTCAACATCTAGTCATCTCTTGCTGGTTTCTGCAACATTGCCTATAAAACTACAACATAAACTTTTTGTTTTAAATTTTAACTGGACATGCAGTAAGTGTTTAAATGTATTTCATTTAAACACATTTAGACACAATTTTTTGGAGTGTGTTGGACAGTCACCAGTTCAGTGTTTCTATTTCTGTTTGTTTTCATCCTGTTACGTAAAAGACCTTTCATAAACTGACTCTTCTTATCAGTGAAAGTTTGGAAACTTCTGCATTTTATTATTCAAATAACTTTAAGTTAGTTTCATGTGATTGCAGAGCATGCAATATTTTAAATCTGCCTCAGCACATTGAGAGAGTGAAGCGGAGAGAAGAAATCATCAAATGTAAGTTGAAACTCTGTTGTGTGTGAAAAGGCAGACAGTTGAGTATATCCAATGTAGAAATGTATCCAACATCTTCTAAATGCTATTTGTCCTTCAGTACTTTTGTCAAATTAATATGAATTTAGCCGTTTCATTTGACACTTAGTATTTTAGGATGTTGTCAGGGTTTAAGTGGTGAGGCAGGTGGAGGACCCAAATGCAGGGCACAAGGCTGGCAGGTTCAGTTCAAAAAAGTTTTATTAAACCAAACCACACTTACAGGCAGTGGCTGAGTCCAATGGAGAATCCACAAGGGCATGGGGTAAACACAAATCCAAAGTACAGGCAGATATCCAAAAAAAACACACAGGCGACAGGGCAAGGTGGCTACAAACCACAACAACAGCAGACAAAACTAAACAGAAACACCAGGCATACAGGTGCTGGTCATATAATTAGAATATCATCAAAAAGTTGATTTATTTCAATAATTCCATTCAAAAAGTGAAATTTGGATATTATATTCATTCATTACACTGATGTATTTCAAATGTTTATTTCATTTAATTGTTATGATTAAAACTGACAACTAATGAAAATCCCAAATTCAGCATCTCCGAAAATTATTTACTTAATACATAAAAAGGATTTTTAGAAATGTTGGCCAACTGAAACGTATGAGTCTGTACAGCACTCAATACTTAGTTGGGGCTCCTTTTGCCTGAATTACTGCAGCAATGCGGCGTGGCATGGAGTCGATCAGTCTGTGGCACTGCTCAGGTGTTAGAGCCCAGGTTGCTCTGATAGTGGCCTTCAGCTCTTCTGCATTGTTGGGTCTGGCGTATCGCATCTTCCTCTTCACAAGAACAGGGATACCATGGTCCTTAAACCAGGTACTGGTAGCTTTGGCACTGTGTGCAGCTGCCAAGTCCTGTTGGAAAATGAAATCTGCATCTCCATAAAGTTGGTCAGCAGCAGGAAGCATGAAGTGCTCTAAAACTTCCTGGTAGACAGCTGTGTTGACCTTGGACCTCAGAAAACACAGTGGACCAACACCAGCAGATGACATGGGACCCCAAACCATCACTGACTGTGGAAACTTTACACTGGACTTAAAGCAACGTGGATTCTGTGCCTCTCCTCTCTTCCTCCAGACTCTGGGACCATGATTTCCAAAGGAAATGCAAAGTTTACTTTCATCAGAGATCATAACTTTGGACCACTCAGCAGCAGTCCAGTCCTTTTTGTCTTTAGCCCAGGCGAGACGCTTCTGACGCTGTGTCTTGTTCAAGAGTGGCTTGACGCAAGGAATGCGGAAACCCGTGTCTTGCATACGTCTGTGCGTGGTGGTTCTTGAAGCACTGACTCCAGCTGCAGTCCACTCTTTGTGAATCTCCCCCACATTTTTGAATGGGTTTTGTTTCACAATCCTCTCCAGGGTGCAGTTATCCCTATTGCTTGTACACTTTTTTCTACCACATCTTTTCCTTCCCTTCTCCTCTCTATTAATGTGCTTGGACACAGAGCTCTTCCCCATGATTGTGTAGCTTCCAGAACTAGACTGAGAGACCATTTAAAGGCCTTTGCAGGTGTTTTGAGTTAATTAGCTGGTTAGAGTGTGGCACCAGGTGTCTTCAATATTGAACCTTTTCACAATATTCAAATTTTCTGAGATACTGATTTTGGGGTTTTCATTAGTTGTCAGATATAATCATCAAAATTAAAAGGAATGAACACTTGAAATATATCAGTCTGTGTGGAATGAATGTATACATTTACAAGTTTCACTTTTTGAATGGAATTACTGAAATAAATCAACTTTTTGATGATATTCTAATTATATGACCAGCACCTGTACATATACACACAGGGACTAACGAGCAGGGTGTGAACAACACAGGTGACAGGGAGGCAGACAGATTACTGAGGGGGGAAAAGACAAAACACAAGTTACTCAACACTAAACACCAGAGTAATATAAATAAAGTAATACAAGCAGACAGATCACAAATAAACTAACACCAACAAGGAACACAGACAGAAGCTAAGGTTAAACAGAACTCAGAGCAGACACGGGCAAAACACCACAAACCAGGAGTAAACACTTAAAACATGAACTAAAGGTACAGGACTAAGAACTAAGATATGAGACAAGACAGATACTACGTAACTAAGATGTGGACGAATAATAATAATAAAGGCTACACAGAGACTAGAGCAGAATGAACAAAATAAGATTAATTAATAAAACTGGCAGAGAACATAAATAGACAAGCAGACAGAACTCAAGCATGATGGTACAGAAGCTAATACATGAGACTGGAACAGAACTGAAATCAAGAAAATACCAAAACACCACTAAACACCAGCTGACAGATAATAACCAGACAAACAGTAACATCGGGTAGAAGATGCACACTGAAGGTAGTAAGCAAACAAAAACTAAGTCTAAACTAACAGCACAGAAAAAGGGATTCTAACTGATAAGACAGGGTGGCTAAGGGAGAAAAGAAAACAGAACAACACAGATCACAAAGACTGGATACAAGACCACAGACTATATAACAGATACCTAACTGATAAATGAAGAAACTAAACAGAACAGATGACAGGACAAACATGCAGATACAAAACCAAACCCTCAGAATCAAAACCCAAAAACACAGCACTCAGGACAGGATCGTGACAGATATGTACAATGTTGAGTTTTTGATGACTCACTGTCAGAGATGTTTTGAATTAACTGTAACACTGACACTTTATGATAGACATTACAAGAAACATGTATTCCAGGTTCTTGCAATATTTTTAATCCCTAGTTTGTATATTTTATGTGTTAACAAGTATTCACTGTTTGACTACGGTTTGCATGTTTCCTACCATCCTACATCCTCTTCCTTGTTGGACTAAACTTTGTATACTTGAAGGAGCGGTGCAGTTATTATTTTTTTAAA